GCGGCGAAGGTGGGGACGGCGATGGTGGGGAGGGCGACGGTGGGGAGGGTGATGGTGGGGAAGGCGATGGTGGCGAGGGCGACGGTGGGGATGGCGATGGTGGTGAGGGCGATGGTGGGGAGGGCGACGGTGGGGAGGGGGAGGGTGGGGAGGGTGATGGTGGGGAGGGCGATGGTGGGGATGGCGATGGTGGTGAGGGCAATGATGGGGAGGGGGATGGTGGGGATGGCGATGGTGGGGAGGGCGACGGCGGAGTGGGCGGTGATGGCTCCGGGCTGGGTGGCAGTGGAGATGGAGGGCTTGGGGGAGGCGGACAAGGGCAGTACCTCATGCCTAACTTGACATAGCCCCAGGCAGTGGGGGAGTCCGGGCAGATGGGGTTGGTAGCATCATTGGCAGCCACCCAGTCAGTTGTAATCCAGGCGGGCAGTGAGCTGGATGTATTCATGGGCAATATGCTTGTGGCGAAGACTATAATGTAAAACGTAACTTCTTGGCATGGAGAATTAACCACAAGACCAGCCACAATTAACCCTAAAGGGAGTGTTACGTTTTCGCCCCGCCCCCATTGTGCATAACTATAGGAATTTCCGGAGCTTATATCACGACACCCGGTGCTGCCACTATACATGCTCTGAAATTGGCTCTCGGTGTAAATGTTTCCAAACACCCCGATGGTAATATCTGGCTGCCATTCAAGCACGAGGATTGGAAGGCCAAGGGCAGCAATTGGTTGACTGATGCTGGGGTCAGGTTGAACAGATATAAATGCCGGGCTGACCTCCTCCCCGGTTCGGCTGGATCGAAATGGGGCCCTGATACCCGATACTGGTACACCTTGGCTGGTTGTCAGTATGACACCGCAGGATGGTGCAGGCGGCATAGGTGGCGGAGGTGGGGGACTTGGCGGCGGGGGCTGAGCCGGGCAGGGGCAGTAGCCTATGCCGAACTTGATATAGCCCCAGGCAGTGGGGGAGTCCGGGCAGATAGGGTTGGTAGCATTATTGGCAGCCACCCAGTCAGTTGCTGCCCAAGCGAGGCTGCCGTCGACTGTATTGGTCAGGGCCACGAACGAGTAGAATGTGGTTGGGGGCCCACAGAGTTGAATCAAGCTGGAGTAGTCGGTGCTTGTAGTATAGAAAATGGGGTGGGTAAGTATTGTTCCAGGGTCCACTCGAACATAGCCAAATGGACTTAATGATGTGGTTGGCGCAACACAGCCTGCACTGCCATTGTAAGATGCATTGAATTCGGCTTCAGATAACAAGCCAAAATTCGTCACCCACTCTACTGGTTGTTCCCAGCGTATCACGATGTTTGTTGTCCCATTGTAGTAAAATCCTGAATTGATATCCGTATCTATACCCTGCAAAATGTACGCGAGGCTGATCTCCTGGCCCGTCCCTGCTGCTAGGACGGGAGTCCGAATAGCGCTGACAGGGACACCATCCTGGTAGAGGACGGTCGCCGGACCGCAGGGGGGTACGGGCGGCATGGGGGGAGGGGGCGGTGGTGAGGGGTTGACGGCTGCTCCCTTTTGCACACTCAGCAGCAGCACCACTGGCAGCAGCACCAGCAGGATGTTTGTGGTGGTGGGCAGGCAGAGCCTCCTCGGCGGGAAGTATCGGTGGAAGCCACAGTTAGATGGCCTTTGCCTGAGCGGGCTGCAGCAGTCATAGTCCCACTGATGCTGGCGGCGGCTGAGGCGACTACTGCTCATGCTATTTTCCGCGCCTTGATGACGATGTGTGCCCATTACGACCTTCAAGGTACTGGCGAACATTGGTAGCTGCAATTTCTTCAATCTATAAGCCAGTGGCTAGTTAATTGTTGCTCTTGTAGTTCACCTGATTTGTTACACCCTGTATTTGATTACAGTATTGCACTTATTCATATATGTGGCTCGATGCGCGTGTGTATTTCGATTCACACAGTGTAGTACGGATGCGTGTATGTGCAGGCTGCCTCAGCTAGCTACCCTGGCAGCAGCCAAACAGACGAGTAGCTAAAGCTGATGTCGGTGTACCTTCCCCAGCAGCTAGCCCTGCGTGCCGTACATATTGCAGCAAATAAAGGGTAGGCAGGCCTTCAGGGAATTAAGCTAACCACGTATGGCATTAAAGATGCAAAAAGGAATGGCCTATGCGTGAATGAAGGCCAGGAATCAAAATGGAGACATATATGTGCAGATAGCCTCGTGGGCAATTACCCACATTGCAATAATGAGTGCTGTTAGCAGGTGCTAGTAATCTTGTTGCTCAAGCGACATACGTTCCGCAGTAAAATACCTCATCGTTGTTGATGAGGGTAATGACAGCAGGAAGTGATGAATGCATCAGGTTATGTATGCAATGTTGCAACAAAGCGGCTTGGTTTATGGCAAAATCAGCTCCCTATCTGTAGTATCCTGGGCATATCACGGGATCTGCATCCACCGTTCGGTTCTTTCCGGAAAAGACTCACGTCGGACGTGGTATAACGCTAGGCAAAGAGTACTCAGGTAGATGCCAGGGGAGCTGATCCCTCTTACATTCCTCCCCCCCGCGAGCGAACATCCTCGGGCGCCCCCAGGCATATCCCGTAGGACTTTGGTTACTTGAGATCCCGTAGGATTGTGAACTTGTTGGTTATTGTGACATTTCGTCAGTCCCCGTCCGAGCTGGAGGACTTTCATTTTACTCAGCTGGTAGACTTCTCGCCCACCCAGAATATGCTGCATCTTGCCTGGTGTGCGATCTGTCTGCACTGGATGTGATCCGGGGAATTCCCACCTACTAGCAATTCGCACTAATGTAACACCAGGCAAAGAGCTCAGGGAGGTGCCATGGGAGTTGATCCCTCTTACATAGGGTGGGCTGGTCGGTAACTTCCTTGGCCGGCTGCACCAACATACGAAGTTCTGCTGAGTCTGCGCAATCCCGCTCTTTGTACACACGTGCACCCGCATGTAAAGTGGAGCCAGACAAGCAAGGAAAGATGTGCCGCTGCCAATGCAACTCATCAGCTGCCACACATGAACGGTGGAACACTCCTTATTTCTCAAACCAATTTCGAGGATGTGCGTGGCAAGCTCAGCAAAGCTTGACAGGATTTTACTCTGGATGAGGTTGGAGTGTAACGTGCAAGAGCAGTTACATATCTCTGAATGATTCTCATCAAAGGGGTTCATTCTCAAGACTTTCGTACATCAGATGGTTACATCTTCGCTGGTGCATCGCATCCGGTGCCTTTCGACACCACCTTGACTGGTTGTGGTTAAGTATTAACGTTGCATGGAGGAACGCGGAGTGATTGATGATGAACGCGGTGTTACATGAGTGAGTGGAGATGGGGGAGAATGCAGTTCACCGATGTCGAGTTTAGTGAGCCTATCAACACCATGCACACAGGGCGTGTGTCAGTAAAAAAATTCAATCACCTATAGGTGACACTTTCGTGTAATAGGTAGGGACGGTAGGGATGCATTTTGATCGTGTGCAGCCTGCTGAGGGCAACCATGCATGGCAACTAACTCCGAGCTGAGTCGGACTCATGAACCTCCTGAGGGCGTTGTGTGAGAGAAGGGCACGACGAGATATGTATAATCCTAAGCAGGCACAACCTCAGGTAACAAGGCTTGTTACGATGGTTGTGTGAAGGGTGGCATGCATGGCCGCCATGATTTCGTAGCCTGTGGCCTGGAAGCGGTGTGCGCGCTTTCTAGGGTTATGATTCACCCTGGACAAATAAACAGTTCCAGACCTGCTGCATCTATCGGCAAACTACATTTGGCAGGGCAGCAAGCAGTGTATGGTGGCCTGATGTAGACAAGCTCCAATAGGGTTCTGCCCACCAAGTTTGGGAATGTCACGGTCAATTAAAAAGGTAATAATCATCGGGTGTTTCTGGTGAAGCAGCTGGCTGCGTTTATTGCGGGTTTGTAGGGTGCGGTCGTACGGTGGCGGTGGCCGTGCATAACGTGCACGAAGGAGAATTCCCGCATCACCGTGAAATTTCCTTCATGTTTGTGTTTGTCGCTTTTTGTCTTTTTTCATTTTCTTGTTTGCGCTTTAAGCAGTTCAATTGTTCTGTGGACTTCTGCATGCCAAGGGACATGCAGACATGCCCGCCCGACTTCACGGCTTGGCGTTTCTCAGGGGAATGTGCACCCGCTGGCCGGTCCTCACAGCAGCCAATCTGGCCAAGTAGCCGCACGCCCGCGAATTTCGCACACATACGCGTAACCCAGCGCTTCTGGCTTTTGAAGGCTGCCCTTTGCGCGTCCTGCCGTGGCCTTCACATTTTGGATGTGTATGGGTGGTCGCTAATCCTTACATCACGTTACTGCGAGGGGCTGTTTAAAAGTTGGCGGCTTCAGAGTGCTTTCAGTAGCCACCACCTTCGGGGTTCGCTTCGCAAATAGGCCCACACAGGAACAGCAGTCGGTTCCGCTGACACCAGTTAGGAATAGCTTGCAGCTAGTCGCCGGGATGCATTTATTAGCTTATGGTCGGCTTTTGGTCGGTATCAGGTTATAGCATTAGTAGAGTCCTGTACCACTTGGAGTTTAGGGGGCATTACCTCGATGAATAACCCACTCGCTATGTCTGCTGGCCGTTAGGGGGGATGTACGAGATGACCGTGTCATTACTATCCTGGGTAGGCCAGTGCCGAATGATTGCCCGGCATTAACAGGAATCCTAACGGCATTGACTTCCCTACCACAACCTGTCCTACTGGATGCGCAACATTTAGTCCCGGGTCCTTGGTGTTACCATATCCCGCTTTGGGGAGATCCCTTGCTAAATGACGCTCAGTTGGACAAGCAATTTGTTGATCTTCGGAATATGTGTGGGTTTGACACTGTAGGTATTGCCGTACTGTGTTTCATTGCTATGTCGTCTACTTCGAATTTGGTGCGCACGGTTGGCTTACAGGACCTCACCTTCTATGTACGAACTATTTTCGTACTATTGTTGTATGGGGGATATTAGGGCTCACTCCGACGGCGTCCGACGGACCGACGCACCCCCTGGCAGCATCTTGTTAGTCGGGGGCAACCGCCATAATGCGCATACCGCAACTTATCAACCGCCTACCTATACCGCCAACTGCTATGGACCTTAGAGTGGCTATGAATGACGGGAACCATGAAATTGTGTGTGGGAGGTTGTGTGCTTCAGCTCACTGAATCGCGGTCGCCGTTTAGGGAAGGTCTTCAGGCCAACATGGCCCTGTCTATGTTAGGCTTTCGCGTTAGTTGTTAAGTCGTTAACTTTACTCGTGGACAATCATTTTGGATATGGATAATGTACGACCTTCCGGCGCCGCCTAGGCTCTTGATAACTATTTAAGTCGTTGTGTTGTTTAGATTGTTATGTCATCGTTATTACATCTTGTGCTGGATTAGCAGGCTTACGTCGCTCGGCCCTCATTGTAACATTTGAGATATCCCAACGAGAAACGGAGCCCATTCCCTTTCAGTTGGTATCGATCTAGACGATCCGGCCTATACGCTTCACTCCGCCTTCGTCTTCGTCGTCATCGTCATCGTCGTCATCGCCTCGCTGGTCATCTTCATCTTCGTCATCCTCCGATGGCTCTCGTCCCCACCGATGCCCACCGCGACCGCTCCTGTTCGCAGTCTACGGAACTTCCGGGCAATGTCCACATGTCGCCGTTCACACTCGACCCCTCTCCCATCCCCCCTATCGTCCACTCCGCCCCTTCCGTCCCCATCGTCGACCCCGTCCCCACCACCTCCGACGCCGCTCCATACGTCCCCTCGCTCCAGGAGGCTATCACCTCCACCGTCCGCGCCGCCATGGCTGAACTCCCCCCGGCCCCATGGTCGACCGCCCAGCAGCCCCATACCGGACCTTACACACCCCTCCCCACCATCGCCCAACCTCGGCCGCCTTATTCGAACCTCTTGCATGTATCCCGTGACTTCCCCCCCTTTAATCCCAAGGATATCCGTGCAGACATCGGGGGCTGGGACATCACCATGCGCCACAACCTGGATATGGCCGGTGTTCCCGAGGACAGTCTGGAGGCAGCTAAAATCACCCTTTCAGTTCTTCGCGGAACCATGGGCGACAGTCTACGGCGCCTCAACGTGGACCCCGCCACACGTTTTACATCATACCATGCCGTCCTACAAGCCGTCACTCCCTTGGCCCCGGTAATGCAACATGAATTGGACGCGCAGCTTGCGATGTTTGTTCTGAAGCAGGGTTCTGGACCAAACTCTCTTCAACACTACATCACTAAATACAAACAACTCATGGCTGACCTGTCGTATCGTCATGAGAAAGACCACGTCCTCTTCTTCGCGAGAGGACTACGGGCCGACTTAAGGGAGGAGCTCTTCTCACGCCTCCGCCATTTGGGTTCCTGCATGCGGTTGCAGGATTTAATCGACCTCGCGCACACCATCTCAACGGGGCGCGACCAGTGATTTTTTTTTCATTTAGGGGGGGTCTCAATTTATTCCAACCTAAGTAACAAAGTTGCTAGCGTCGCCGTAATGTATTCCTTAAGAGTGGGGCGCTGGGGGGGGGGTACGCCCCCCCCAGACCCCCCCCTGATAAGTTACAACTCCCCTCATAGACCAAGAGGCACGCACTGCGTTGGCGCGTTTTCGTTCATGTGCGCACTCTTCATGCACATGCATAGATAGTTCTGGCACTGTTTGTGAACAAAAAGTAAATCCGACCAAGCAAAGGCCAAAAGCAAGCAACCGCATAGCAAATCAAAGGCCGTCACCCACCACTGCAAACCACAGCACACTAGGACTCTACCGGTTCATCATGTACCGGCCCCTGCTGCTGCTGTCCGCTTGGCAGTGCGAGCGCTCCGGTTGGGCGCCTCGCCGCATTCGTTGTATTCGTTCAAGTCGTTGCCTTTTGCGTGTTTGGCTATGTAAGGACCGGTCATACATTCTGCTATGCCGCGTTGACTCACAGGCTTGACCTTCTTACGGCCCCTCATATCTATTCTATGATCGATAATACTAAGTTCTGCACACTACGGAGCAATCTGGCAGCAATGGACGTTTTTGGCTGGAGGAATGAAAATGTACGGATCGGCCTCAATTTGTTCCTTATTTCCAAAGGCCAAAATGGCCTCTTTATTCC